GAATTTGGTTTAACCCCACATTTCCCAAACTTACTTGGCTCCGGAAGACCTTTTCCCATCACTCCTGTTATCTATCGTCTGGGGAGCCAGCGTTCCATTGACCCAAGCTCAGGCAACTCTGGTCTAGCTGGATGCTGCCGCACACCCGTTTCTCAGGACTGGTCCCGGGAGATGGTGAAGGACCACTGCTCCTCCCATCCCAGTCCTCAGAGGCGACTATCCAGTCCCCATACCCTGACAGCCAACCTCCCTGAATGCACCCCCATAACACCTCTCCTTGGCCTGCTGCTTCCATTTACTTTGGTTTCATTTCACTGTCTGAGAGGGGGCTCCAATTTCTCTGGGTCTTTTTTGAAACACAGGTAGAGGACCAAAGTGGATACTGCCCAGTGGTAAAAGCTTCACGGAGAGCTGGTTGTTGGCCGGCCCTGAGATGCTATCCCACTGCCTGCAACCCTGCATGGCTCAGGTTTCCCACTCGTGTGTGGTCAGTGGGACCACTCGACCCCTGGCGGGGGGCATCCCACCACTGCTTCCTCCCTCCTCTGTAGAAACCTGTCCAGGTAGACTTGACCTTGGCCCCGTTTAACCATAGCCTGCCCTAGAGAATTACGTCTCTAATTTGTCAAGGTCACTCAGGATTCTGCGCCAGCATCCCAGCTGTTAGGGGTGTGAGGGTTGCTAATTGAGTGAGCTAAGGAAAGAAATGGACTGACTGTGCCAGGTGAGTTAGGGCAGCTGGGGAGGGCAGTCTGGAGCCAGTGTGGAGCCCTGGGTACCTGCGGCCCGTTACCAGCAGCACCAGTGGCGAGTGGGGCCCACCACGGGCTCTGGAGGAACATGCAGCATGTGTTATCACCGCAGGGGATGGTAAGTGCCAGGACCCATGATATCTCACCTCCCATGACAAATTACAAAATGGCACAAAGCCCCTGGAAAAAAGCCAGGTGTGATAGTCGGGGTGTGATTATCTCCCAGCAAGAGCCCTGACTCACTCCCTATTTCTAGTTTCCATTTCTCTTTCGAAGGCTGCCTTTCTCACACAGAGGTCTTTCCACCCAGAACCATTGTTGGGTGGAGGAAGGCGAGTCAGAGCTCTGAGAAGTCAGACTACAGGCCCTGAAAGAGGAAAACGTCACCCAATTGTCACGGGGGCGGAAACAGAATGGGAAAGGGTGGAGAGAAATGCTGTGGGTTCTGGTCTTGGAGTGGCCACCAGCCCCCGATGGCCCACTTGTCCTCTATGGATTTGAGGGGCTCTTTCGAGGCCCCTGTGCTAACACCCCAGGGTGTGAGGTTTTGGGCCTCCCGGGGCCTGGAACTTCCTCCACGTGGGTCTACAGAGCAAAGCAACCCCAGCCCCATCGCCCTGTGCTAGCAGCTCAGCTTCCTCAGCTCTCACGGTCACTGGCAGGCTACCGGAGGAACGAAGCATGATGCTTTCCTACCTGCTCTCCAGTGACAAGGCACAAAGTCGGCCTCAGGACTCTCGTGTTCAGACCTATGTTAACTGAGCAGAACTGTGGACACCCCTCATTGCACACAAGACAGTACAAAACAGTGTCTATATGGGGGACCCAGCTGAGCCTCAGCATTGGGCGCTGGCCCTGGAGAGGCAAGGCTCCTCAGCTGCTCCTCGTCTGTTCACAACAGTATCCCTGCATAGGGCTGACGGTGCCAACCCAGAGGCACCTGGAAACAGGGCTTCAGCTTACGCCCTAACCTTGGTTTGGTGCACCTTGTTCTCCCGGGTCACGAGGTACTAACAACCAGCCCACGGCCCGCCTGCAGGAGGTGAAGGGTGCACCTTTCTGAACAGCATCATGCATACCTCAGATATTTCTGCAAACTGAGCATTGGCCTGACAGCACTTCTCTGCTGTTTCCATGGCAACTCCGTAGTTGTCCACAAAGGCCCGGTACACACCCAGCTGGCTGGCCTGTGGGGAGAAAGCATGTGGGACAGGTGTGAGACAGGTGCAGGACAGGTGCCACGGCTCCCCATCTTTCTGAAAAACGGGCTTCTGTGCAAAGCTCTGAAGAAACCCCAGGTGCAGCAGACATTGCAGAGCTGCAGACACCTCAGTACCTCTGTGCTGTTGCCTCCCACCTGCCTCCCTGTCCCACGCACTAAGCCCACAGCGACATGTTGAGTAGTGACTCATGGGCCCAGGAAGGTAACGGTTCCTTTCCACAGCTGCTTATTCCTCCCACCCCCATCGTTTAAGTGGTGCCACTGGCAGCCGCCAAAGTTCAAGGTTGTCAGTGAACGCAGACGGCGTCTCTGCACAGGTGGGATGGAGCAGCACCTTCTCGTTCTGGCTGCGGGAGACAAAGGTGAACAAGGAAGTCAGCCCCCCCACCCCAAGCCTCGGTGGTTCCGGAGCTCTGCTCACATCTGATATAGAAGGAACACGCAATCTAGCTGCCCTTGAAGAGGGGCTCCTGCTGTGCTGAAGTGAGCCCCACCCAGACCTGGCAGGGGGCATTGCGTTTGTCCTTTGTCAAACCAAAGGCGCTAATTCATAGAGGGTCTCCTCACATAGCCTCCTGCTCAGACACTCAGTTGAGAAACAACTTCCGCAGGGAGGGGTGTGTGTGCAGCTACCAACATCTCTGGGCTCCACCTCGCCTGTGGAGGCAGCTCGGGGAGACCAAACCTCGTTCACCCGCAAACCCAGGCCTGGGGCAGGCAGGGGCAGACCCCACGGCTGGCTGGTTGGGCCTCCCACGGTAGGCAACCAGGAGCTGGACGCCTAAGGCTCTTACTGATCCTGGTGTTTGTTCTGTGTAGAACCTAAATTTTATTTCTATACACATTTGCATTTATATTGAATTTTATGTTTCTTCAGAGAACAATCCCAGATGCTGGGTAAGCCAGGAGCCCTTGGCACTGTCTGGTCTTCTGGCCCCACTCCCTGTGGGGGCTGCGCGGAGGAAAAGCAGCAGCTAGAGGAGGCCCTGCCCAGTCCCCACCACGCTGATCGCCCCATACAAGTCGCTGCAGCCTCAAACCCCAGGCTCTTCATCACTGGTACCACGGTCAGACCCAGAGCCCTTCCTCTCTCCCTCCTTTGCTAGTCAGTGAGCACCTCCCACAAAAACAAAGGCCCCGCTTTCGGCACTACCACCACAGCCTTGAATCACTCAGACACAGTGCAGCCGGGTAGCAGGAAAGACAAATAAATAGTGAACAAACACGAAACGCGGCAGACAGCTGAAAGTGAAAGTGAGATTGAGGATGCCAGGGCTGCTTTAGATAATATGGTCAGGATGGCCTCTCTGAAAAGGTGATGGTTCAGCCAAATCCTGAGGAAATGTTACTATTGCAATTCATGTGCTGAAGCCCTAACCCCCAGCGCCTCAGAATGTGACTGTGTTTGGAGATAGGACCTAAAGATGTGATTAGGTTAAAGGAGGCTGTTAGGGTGAGCCCTAATCCAATAGGACTGATGTCCTTATAAGAGGAGATTAGGACACAGGCAGGCACATGTGGGGACACCGGGAGACCATGGCCATCTATAAGCCAAGGAGAGAGGCCTCGGAAGAAACCAGCCCGAGTAGAGTGTGGGAATGGAGTCAATGGAATTGTAATAGATAGATAAGTATGATATCAGGGGTGGGAGGGCAGTAGATGGGGGAGGGGGGTTGTTTCCATGCAAAGGGTGAAAAGGATAACTATTGCATTGTTCTGTACACCTGAAACTAACAAAACAAAACAAAACAAAATAAAACAAAACAAAAGAAACCAGCCCTGTCGACACCTTGATCTTGAACTTCCAGCCTCTGGAACTGTGAGAAAATAGATTTCTGTTGTTTGAGCCACCCAGGTTGTAGCAGAGCAGGCAAACTAATACAGGGCCTATGGGACGAGAACTCCTTTCCTGAGGCGCTCACGTCTTCCATGTGGCTTTTGGGAAGTTCCAGGCAATTAACTCGCACATTTTTAGCTAATCAAAAACCAAGCAACATCAATACAAGACAAATAGAAATCACGTGCCTCCAGATATGACGCACTGAGAAGGACACAGCATCACTGCTGTGGTTTTTTGGTTTTTCTCCATTAACGCAGAGCCTGAATCTATTCCTGGGGAAACATCAGACAGGTCCAACCTGGACTGTACCCTTGAAAAAAAAAAAACACCTCAAGGTCATAGAAGACAAGCAAGGGCCAAGGAACTGGTACAGATAGAAGGAAACTAATGAGACATGACAACCAAGTATACATCTTGTGACCCTGGATTGGATCCTGAATCAGAGGATGAAAATGGATATAAAGAACACGATGGCTAACTTGGGAGAAATTTGCATGTGGATTGCACATTAAACAATAGTATCATATCAGTGTGAAACTTCCTCCATTTGAGGACTATACTGTGGGTTACGGAAGAGCACGTTCTTGTTCTCAGCAAATACACAATGAGGTGTTTAGGGGTAAAAGGGCAGATACCTGCAATTTACTCTCAAACTATTAAGTGAGTGTGTGTACGTGCATGCATGAATAATAGAGAGAGAAAAAGATAAAGATAAAGCAAATGGGGTAAAATGTTACAACCGGTGTATCTGGCACATGGGAGTTCTTTCTACTATTCTTGCAACACTTCTGGAAGTTTGACAGGAGTAGAAAAACAAAAAAACTGGGCTGATAAAATTTCAGGCAGAAACAAAACCCTGAGTGGTGGCAGTTAACCAGTGCATTCCCACAAGAAGCAGAGTCCAGGCACAGTTCCTTTCGGTCCTCAGACTCTCCCAGAGGAATGCCTGACAGAGCAATGCTGGGCCGACCTCGCCTTGCTGGTCTGAGAGATTATGTCTGTCTGTCTTTGGGGAGACACCAGAACCCAGCCACAGTGGCACACACGTGAACACTTGGCACGCAGTTACTGGGGCACGCCTTTCCCCTGCAGCCCCACTTTTCTTCTGTCTTCCTGCTGCAACGTCCAAAGCACAAAGGTAGCTCAAGGACACCAGGGAAACCAGAAAAAACGTTCCCAATTCTGGCATTCATCAGACTATTAAAAATTTTTAAAAAGTTTCCAAGTACTTTTCGGAATGTTATTTGGGGAAGAGTGCTGGTTGTGGATTTCTTTCCAACACGATTCTCGGGAGGGACACAGGCTGAGTCACCTCCTTTGGGTTCAAACCTGCTGACACATCACACAGGGAGAAACGGGGGTGCTTCAAAGATGAGGAGCACCTGCATTAAAATACAGTCTCCCGCTCTCTGGCCATGGGGAAGGGGGTCCAGGCAGCGAGAATCTCAAAAAAACAGGCGCTTCATGTGTTCCCTGCATCTTTGCTCCAGTGTGTTGCAGCCCAGGGCGGTGGAGGTAGGTGGGCAGGCGGGGGGACGGCCAACAGGAAGGCCACGCCTTAGAGAAGAATGCTGGAGCCCATGCATGAGCCAAGGTGAGGCCAGAGTTGGGCCAGTTGGATGTCTGGGAGCCCAGGAGGGGCCCCAGGTTTTCAATAACTGCCGCACTGTGTACATTTAGAGGGGGCCCGGTGACCTTGGGCCACCCCTACGCCTGGAAGACTCGTTTCTTTTGGGAGGGAGAAAGCTCCAGGGAAAGCACGTGTGCACAGGAGGCTCGGGGAACCCTGGAATCAGGATTAGGGGTCCTCGGATGTGGAGTCCCCATCCCACGGGCTTGCCCAGGATGCGCCTTCGAGCGACTGTCCCAGGACAGGGGCTCCGGGTATGGGAGGCAGCCTCTGCCAGGCTCTTATATCCAGACCGCACCCCACCCACCCAGACTTCACCTGAAGAGGCTGACTGCTTCCCCTCTTTAGACCCCAAAAGAGGGGGGGGACTCCTTTTCACACATGAACCTCACATGTTCGAACTTCACATGTTGAAAACAAACATCGATCTGGCAGCTCCCGTCTGAGAGTTTTCTTCTTTATCCCCAGGTCCCTTAACCATTTCTTCCTTTTGGACAAGTTCCATCTTATCTACATCTCGGCTAAGTGTGCACCCTGAATGCAATCCCTGTTCCAGGTGTGGCCTGGCCAATGCCAATAGGCCTACCAACCTTGCAGCCGACTGCCAGCTTTTCCTGATCCCATCGACTGTTTTAAAGCTGCATCCTTGGCTCCTCTCTGGCCCTGTGGTCAGCAAAGGCCAGAGAGGCCCCTGATCTGCCTTCACAGAGCGCCTCTCCGGTACTGCGAGGGGGGCTCCAGCCTCTGGGGCCTGAACCCAGACCCACCTCTGCCAAACAGATTCCTGGCCAGTTTTGGCTCATTGAGCCTTTCAGAAATCCTTACTCTGTCACCTACCATCACCTGCCCTTCAATTTTATGGCTCCTAAAGGCAGGGAGATAAACAGCGTTCGTGGAGACAGGCCAACCAGGGTTACAGCCCAGGCAAGTGAACCTTCCTTTCCTCAGTCTCCTCATCTGCACCGTGCTGAAGACATGACCGGCCTTAGAGGGCTGCCTCATCTCAGGTGCAACAGGGCATCTGCAGGTCCCCTGGAGTGCCTGATCAGAGCCCAGCCCGCTCCTCAGGAACCAGATCGCCTCACAGTGTGAGGCTTGGCTGTCCTTGGTCCACGCTCCCCAGTTTAGAAACCAACCCCTCCTGCATTTCTCTAGCTTGTCCGCAAAGACCAGTCCTGATTCCTGCAGGGCACGGGGGTGTCGCTGCCAAAGTCTCCAGCATTAAACATGCCTCCAGGGTCTGGAAGGGGCCACCAACGGGAGCTGAGAGCCACTCGAATGTCCTGTTTTTACCACTTTTCTTTGCCAGGGCCCTACTCTGGGATCAAGGGCACATTTCCCCCCACTACTTTGATTTTTACTGACCGAGTCTCCCCTCCCTACAGCACTTAAAAAAAAATTCTCTGAGAGCCTTTAATTCAGGTAGCTACAAAATGAAATCAAGTATAATAACCCCCTGCTCTGTTCCTACCTGTGCTTGCCCCTCCAGGCTCTGCCCACCCCCAACTCTGGCCTGTGTCCGAGTCCTGCTCTCCTGGACAGCAGCATCTCTTTGGTCCAAAGCGGCCCTCTGGGGGCAGCTGCACCAGCCTGGAGACTAGGACTCTTGAGTAAAAACGAGCAGAGCCAGGAAGGACCCAGTGATGAAACCAGGGGCAGTCTCGTGCTGGGTCCAGTGTGGGTGCTACGGCAGAGACCCCTCCTTGCAACCTGACCTTTGGCATCTGAAGTAGTTAGATACACTCCAGACACTTACTTGCCACTGTCACCTCTGTGTCCCAAGAGCCCTTAACAACACACGACCACAGGTCTCAGGAGAGGGCTGGCCCCCACACAGCCACCCCCACAGCTCGGGAGGCTGCGGAACACCTGCTCCACGTCACTCACCAGCTTCTGGAAGAGGTCGCCCACTCGCTGCTGGTGGCTCCACTGCTGCACGCGGGGGAAGAGCCCATCGTAGAATTCCTTGTGGATCTCATAGAGCTCAGGCACTTTGAAGAAGATGGTCTCGATCTGCTGGTTCGTCAGCACTGGCTGAGAGGTGGTGGCAGCGGCCTTCAAAGGCTTCATGGGCTGAAAGAGGGTACAGGTGAGGCAGCCCAGGTGACAGGTGAGGTGGCACAGGCGACAGGGGAGGCGGCATAGATGAAACAGCTCGCCATTTATCAGGTGTATGGTATGACCACAGAAAATCATGGTTATGTGACATGTGCTTTTATTTATAAATTTCATTAAAAATTAAAATTTAAGGCCAGCTTGGGTTGGCACCTGTCTTACACTGGTATCCACGGACCCTTGGGGAGGTCTAACTTCTGCACAGGTGAGATGTTCTGACCCTTCCATAGGTCTCAGTGAAGGAGGGTGAGATGTCCCCAGGCTCTGCCAGCTGACCTGGGACATGGGCCAGGTGAACAAAGAGCTCCCCGTGTCCCCACCATACTCAGCCTCCTGCACCCTCCTCACCAGCAGCAGCGCCTCTAAGTGGCTCAGGTATGTCTCCTCACTGGCCAAGATTCCAGACAGGACCCATTTTCTCATCTCCAAGCCCTTTTCCAAGTCCAGCTCACTCTGTTGAAGAAACAGACAAAAGTCAGACCTGTGAAATGAAGCTTGAAGAAGAGATTAGGATGTAGACACACACAGGGGGGAGACACAGGGAGAAGAGAGCCATCTCTAAGTCAGGGAGCGAGGCCTTGGGAGAAACCAACCCTGCCAACACCTTGATCTCAGCCTTCCAGACTCTAGAACCATTAGAAATAAATCTCTGTTGTTTAAGCCCCCCAGTCTACTTTGTTACGGCCACTTCAGGAAACTCATAGAGATGGTGATGCTAAAGGCAATGAAAACTGCTGCGACTGCCTGGCCACTTGCGTGCTTGCTCCCTGACCCCAGGCAGGCAAAGCTTGGTGTCAGAGGCTGGCCGGGCCCCAATGTAGTCCCAGGGAGGCACCAGGTAGGGAGTGGCCCTACATTTATTGAAGGTGACGTAATAATCTGCCCATTCCACCACCAGGCTTCCCAGCCCACAGGGGAACGTGAGACAACCCCACCAGGGCAGCCCTTTGTTATGGAACTAGAGCACTGCTTCTTCAGTCACTTGCTTCCCTAAACCTCTCAGGGAGATTCCTGATTGGGGGCAGGTTCCTGGAACTCAGCACCCCTGACATCTGGGGCCGGAGGATTCTCTCTTGGGGACTGAGGTGCTGTCCTGTGCCTTGTACAATGTTGAGCAGCATTTTTGGCCTCTTCTCACCATATGACAGTAGCAACCCCTTCCCTCTCCAGGCTGCAACAGCCGCAAATGTCTGTAGATGTTGCCACACTTCCGCTGAGGTTCAAACTGCCCCACGGTGAGAAATGCTGGTTTTGAGGAAAAACCTGACTGAGCCAGCTCAGGCCTTATGGTGTCACCACAGAGTCTGGAATCAGGATCAGGAACAGCAGTGTAGCTCCTCTGTGCCCCCAACCCTGATGTCCCTTTCTGCGTTCCTGGCCAGGCACAAGGAAGCACTTCTTGGAAGATGGCAGGCCCAGCAGGAAGTGCCCAGGGCCAGGGGTTGGGCCTGCCCGGTGAGCCCCTTTTGCCCTGAGTGTATTACACCCTCACTGCCCACTAGGAATATCCAAAGAGCCTTCCTGGACCATCACCACTTTGCTCTGGGAATCTTGTAAGTATGCATGAGCTAGGCTCATGCATGTATGTTATGTGGCATGTGTGTGTGCACGCATGTGGGTGTGCACGTGCATGGCTCCATGGGCAGAAACCTCCTGGACATGCTGTGCCTGACCTTGAAACTCCCTGTGCCAGCACAGTGTATGGAACACATAAGTGTTCGATGAAGATTCACTGAGCTATCAAATCAATCAGTGAATCTAGAACTGCATGCTGGGCCCAGTTTGGGCCACATCCTTACAAAGCTGAGGGTTCCTCCTGGGATCTAGGACTGTCAGGGCAGCCTGCTCCAGACCCCAAAGTGCTACCGGAATTCAGCAGGTCCTCTACACACAGTGAGCAGATGGGTAGGGTGGGGGTCCCTGATACCTCATCTCAACTCAGCCTGCCAAGGCCATACCATGAAGGGGCAGCCTCTGGGGGAAGTAGCTCTCAACTGACCTTGCATGTACATCCCACCGTGTCCAGGTGCTGCTCTGCCCAACCAAGGGAAGAGGTTAAGGTGAAGGGGGACGGTAGCTACCTATCCAGCCCTGTGTGTCCTGAGAAACAATTCTGCGACTGCGAGTGCAGGGTGGGGGAGACATGACGGCCCCACCCACACGAGATGCTGGTGCTCACGTGGGTGGGTGACTGCGCCGGGCCTCGTTCCCACCCACTTGGTTTGGAAAGCTGAGAGGAAAACGAGCGCAAGCAGGATGGCGCCGAGGCCAGCCCTCCCTGTTCCGAAGGGCGCGGCCAGCTCCAGCGCACATCTGGCTTGGGGACCGTCCTGAGCTCGGGAGGAGACATGGGGCCTTAGACTGAATCCCTGAGTGGTGCTGGTGGCATCAGACAGGCACAGCTGGGACACCAGCAAATTCCGTCTCACAAAAGAGAGAGCAGGAGGGAGAGTGCAGAAGACGAGAGCACAAGGAGCAGGGCCAGGACCAGAGCGGTTTCTATCCCCACCCTGCACACGTGCCAGTTCTGGAAAAGGTGCGAGAATCCAGTCGGGGCCATGACAGCGGGAACACCTCTGTGGGAGGAAGCCAGAGGTAAAGGGCAACCGGGAAAGGGAGGCAGCAAGTCAGAAGGAAGGCCACCTACTGCTGCCCGGGAAGGGGCAGCGGACAGGGGGCAGAGGCAAGGGAGGGAGAAAGCAACACAAGTCTGGACGCTAGAAAAGCAGATAAAAATGAAGTAGGCACGATGACAGGTAGGAAAAACTAACTGAGGGACCCAGGTGACCAGAACAGCCACCTGTCAGCCAGCTGCCAGGCCCAACAAGCAGAGCAGAGAGCCGGAGCTGGAACAGAGCTGCAGGAATGCAAGCAGCAGCAAAAGCTCAAGGAGCACCCCACATCCCCAGCCCCAAACTGGGGGAGCCGGTGGGTCAGGGCGTAAAAGCCGGCCGTGAAGGGTGGGCTGCTCCTGGCTGGGAGTTCACAGCCAGCACAGCTGCTGAACAAAGGACCCTCTCTTCCTCTCTGGGCAGGGGTTGCGCTTTCATTAGCAGCAGGGCTAGATAGTGTCTTGGTGCCCATGCAGCAGAGGGCAGGAGCTGGCCTCTACACAAGGCCACATGCTGAGAGGCTCCTGCAGCCCCAGTCCTCCAAACAGAGAGGCACAAGCACGCAGGGCAGGAGGCACGACTCCTGTGCCCAGCCCCTGATAAACCAACTCAGCAAGCTCTTGGGAGAGAAGGGAACGGGCTGGGCTGACACCAAATACTGGTTTCCCGACTTTGCAGAGAAGACAGGTGAAGGCAACCCCTATCCCTATGTAAGTCAGGGCCCCAGGACCAAGTGCCGTAGCCAAGCTGAGCCAGAGGGACCGTGGTGACATTTATGCGCCTGCAACTGGCGCAGAGCCTCACTGGGGCCCCCGAACAGTCAAAGCACCCATGACAAATGAATCATAAAAGTGAATGAACTTGTGATAAAAGCACAAGTCGGAGGTATAGACACTCTGAGTGTGGGGATGGCCAGCAGCAAAATTATAAAGCAGGCCTGTTTGTCTTCGAACATTCCCGTACCGGCTTTTAGTTCCCTTGTAAACATGCGAAACTGACTTCTGAGCAGAGGTGATCAATTGACTATATGTATTTACTTTGGCTTTCCACTGAAAACAAAACAGAGAAAAACAACAACAACAAAACCCTAAAGCATCTGTGGGGCCTGGCAGCCACCTACTGAGACAGCACATAAGGCACAGCCACTTCTGCAGAGCAGCAGCTGCACCCAAGCCCGCGTGCTTTCTGGGCCACTGGCTGGAGGGCCCGTCCAGCTCTGCCACTTGCTGAAGGGCCCCTGAATGTGAGAAGGTGTGGGCTGAGGTCACATCTGCCCCTGCTTGCTGAGCCATGCCTCTGGGCCTGCTCCTTGCTGGTACCCCACGGACAGGGCCCAGCGGGTCACTGTGAGGAGCGAAGTCACACAGATTGTTAAAAAGCATGGAGACTGGTAAGCAGGGGCTGCAGCTCCACAATGTCAGCTCCCTTCTGTACGCCTTGACGTCCTCCCTATAAATGAATGGGTGGGATGCTGCCAGGACACTCGAGGACCCAGGAAGGAAATGACCATGCTGACATTGCTGAAGAAAGGTCACTCGCTGGCTGGCAGCTCTGGCCCCAGCCTCCCAGGAGTGTCCACAACACTGCCTTGCTTCCTTTGAGTCAGAAGTGTTGGCTTTGCCCTCCCACAGGAGAGAGGCAGTGATCATGGAAACGGCCTGCACAGGGCATGCTCTTCCCAATGACTCCATGTCAGTGCAGACGAGGGTCTGAGGGTAGGAGTCTGGGGGAGGGTGGCCAAGCAGCACAGGGCCTGGGGCACAGGGAGGGCAGATCAGCCTCCTCAAGGAGCCTGAAGGTCCTACTGGGTAAAAACACCCCTCAAGGATGATGGATGGACAAGGCGGTCCCGTACCAAGTTCAGGACTCCACCTACTTAATGAGGGCCCTACGGATCTTTATCTCAAACCAGGCTCCCAAAGCAGAAAGAAAAACAATGTACCAAGAAAAGCAAGGAAGCTGAGGGACAGTGTCAACTAAGGAATGCGAAAGCTTCAAATATGGTAGCTGTGTGGCCTCGAGCAAGTTACTTCACCTCTCTGAACCTCAGTTTCCTAATCTGTAAACCGGTGAAGCTGGACATTGGATGAGAAGTCGCACAGGGCAGGTGTGTGTTCCATAATAGCTTCCCCTCCTACCCTCATGTTTCAGAACGAGAAGCCTGCCCAGCACTGAGGTCTTTAGAAATCACAAAAGTGTAAGTAAGAAGCCATCTTGTAGCTTCTTAGCGGCACCAGCCCAGAGAAGCCACTGAAGTGAAAAGATACGCTTGTAGCTCTTTGTCATAGCGATGGGAAAACCAGATTCCTCTCGCTTTTAAACCTTGGTGGAAATCACCCAGAAACAAGCTAAGCAGAAGGGGGAAGGTATCTGGCATTAGGGGAAAAGGGACCAGAAAGACAGAGGTGCAACCCACCCTGAGGGCAGCAATCTTCTCAGCCCAAGAAGGAAGGAACCTGAGAGCTCAGAGGGGTGTCCTTTCCCCAAAGCCAGGGGGTGCGTGTCTGGGCTCCAATGCACCACAAGGAAGTGTTCTCCTAAGCCATGGGGCCACTAAGAGCAGTGAGGACTCTGTGCCAAGCTGGGCCAGCATGCCAGCTCTGGGACAACCCCGGGGCTACGCGTCTACAAAAGAGGGGCCGGCCCAGGGGCTTGTCCGAGCACGCAGCAGGGCAGCTGCTGAATGCGCCACTGCGCACCTGCCACGAAACCTTGGGGCTCAGGTCCACAACAGTAAAGTGGAGGTGACAGCAGGATTGTTAATGACAATGAGATCTTGAGGGAAAGGCCTTGGTTAAATGGATGGAGGGATTGTCAGCACACCCTTTGGTAAAAGGGAGCAAGTACATTCCATGGAGTGCAGGCACAAGAACCTGAATGTCACCCCTGCTTTGCCACCACTGCAGGTCCTCAGCTCAAGCTGCCTGCCTCCTCCACGCTCAGCTGACAGTTCTATGATCTCCCTGTTCAACACACTTAGCAGGCGGTCCCTGTGCCCCAGACAAAAAGATAAGGAAGGGGTTTTAATGACTTGACATCCAACCTTGACTGCTCTGTCGCCTACTTGCTCTGTCACCACCTCTGAGCGAGTGCTTTAGGGAGCCTCTGGGACAGGACAGCTGGCCTGGAGCTGAGCCCGAGCCCCGTCTCACACGTGGCCCACCGCCCTGGGACTCACTGCTTTGGTGGACTCCAGGGCTCCCGAGGCCAGTGCGTCCCGGCTGCCCCTGCCCTTGCTGCTGAGGTGGGGTGAGGAGGAGGGTGAGTCATCGATGTAGGGCAGTCCATCCTGGTGTCGGCGCTGCTCCTCGGCCCGGTCCGCAGCACAGCCATATCCAGGAGGCGTTCCGAATGTCGTATCTGTGTGTGCAGAGAAGCAGCCTGTGTTAGACACAGGGAGGGGGGCTGAAGGGTCATCGGCTTGGGAATACCCACGCTCCACCTGTCCCAGCAAGTACCCAGCTGACACCGTCTATCACCTGCAGGTGTCAAACAGAGACCTCAGGTGTGCTGACCTCATCTTCACAACTGACTGGCCCAAGACCTCAGGGCCAGGAGAGAATGAAACAGCGGCTCACTCCCCAGACAAAACGAGAATGGGCTTTCAAATGGTATGTGGGGCACATCTGCCTTTGTCCTGGAAGCAGGGTTTGAGACATTACAGAAAGGTAGACCCCAAATGCTAGTATCTTGCTGTAAGGGATGGTCCTTGTACACCTGTCTGTGGGGCGAGGAACACAGGCCAGCACACCTGCCCAGGTGCAAGCCATGGCCACCAGGAGCAGCGCCCCATGTCTGCCAGCCTGAGCCCAGGGAATGGGTGCTGCAGCCCTCTCCTCTCCCTCACCCTGTGCCTTGGCTGACTCAGCCCATCTCCCAGCTGGTCTGGTAAAATCCCAGACCACCTTTACCTCAATAGAAGTGTGCCTATGCGGACAGAGAGTGGCTTATCCTACAACAGGCTCCTTGCTGTTGGGACTATCTAGTTATGGAGAGTAATACCTCCCTCCAAAGGCAGCTGAAGATAGTCACCTCCCTCCCAAGCTAACTCACAAAGGCACACCTGTTGGCCTTTCTATAGCTCTGTTCCCAGGCTCCTTGCCAGGACATCAGCTCACAAGGCCCAGCCTAGCCTGCTCTAAGCCTCAGGTGAAGGCCACTTCTCAACTTCTTCCGAAGGGCACTTTCCCGGCCCCTGGGATTTCCAAGAGGTCACACCGATTGGGAAAATGTCCATCGGGTTACATCACTTCCACTATGACTCACCTGCAAGCAGACCCACCCAAAGGTTACAACCACAGGAAGCCTTCTGCAGTGTTCATTTACCAGTTTACAATAACTTCCACCATCAAACACCCATTCTGGGACTCAGGCTCCGGGTGCTGCTGGTGCCCAGACCGCCCAGGCCAGGTGGGCACAGGGCCACCCACAGGCTTCTGGAGCTGACCCGGCAATCCCTGAGGGAGACGGTTTTCGATTCTTCCCACATGGGCAGTTGGGAGGAGCGGTGGCTGGAGTGACCAGGTGCTCAGTGCAGGCTAAGCCTGGATGCCAGTGCATGGAAGTGGCTCCGCTGCCAAGCTGCAGGCGCCCACGGATGGCCAAAGTCCCGGCTTCCTCGAATGCCTCTTCCTCTCCTAGCCCAGCATGCCATGCCGCACACCCTCTAACAAGTGTCCTTAGCCCTAGCTACACATCAGCGTTACCTGAGAAGCTTCAAAAACATAATGAAGCCGGGCCCAACACAGACCAACTGAATCAGACGCTCCAGGTGGCTTGGGCCCTGTTCGTTATACAGGTTTCCCTGGGGAGCCCAGCAAGCAGCTAGGGCTGAGGCCCACAGCTCTACCCCAACATAGCGTCTGGCACTGTGCTGGTCACCGCACTGACCCACCCGCATCCCCTGTGTCTGCACACAAGTGCCAACTGCAAAGGCCAGGCTGAGTTCTATGTGTGTGTGTGTATGTGTCCACAGGAGGTTCCCAGCTAAGGCCAGTTCTGGGTTAAGAGTAGCAGACAGGGTGGGGGAACCCCAAGAGCTGGGTGGCCTCCTGACGAATCCCCCAACAAGCTATGCAGAGGTGCCCTGGTCTCCTTAATCCACAGGCCATTGAGGGAGTTCCAGGTACTGAGACCACCATGTTGGTATATCACTCAGACCACTGGCCTGTGGGTATTGTCCTTGCAAGACCATCAGAGGCCATGGCCAAGTTCTGTCTCCTCTCATGATTTTGCAAATGCATTCAGCTATCTCTCACTCAGCATCCCTGAGGACAACTGGGGAGAGTTCAGTTGTGTTAAAAACACAAAAACACAAAACCCTGTTAATGCAGAACCCTAACCCTGCACCCTACCCCCCAAAATGATCTGACTTCAGTTTCTACTTCCTTTGGGAGAATCAAAGATTTTTCTTTTTTTTTTTTTTTTCCAGTAAAATGAACACAGAGGTCTTCTTGTCCACTCAACATCCAGGATGTGAGCCCTATGTCATGGAAGCCCCTACTGGAAACCTGCCCATGAAAGGCATCCCGGGAGGAATGCCTCAGCTATATCAGGTAGGGCCGTCCTCACAGCCAGCCTAAATGGTCTCCCGGGCCATGGGGTCGTCCGTGTCTCAGTTTTCCTGACTTTAAAATCTGAAGTGTGAACTAAACAATTGATAGAGGCCCACTCAGGTCTAAAACGTTAGTGTCTGGGCCGGCCTAGTGAGACATTGGTTAAGAGTTGGCTTGGGACGCCAGCTCTGAGCAGCAGGGCCCCAGTTCGGATCCCAGATGAGGGCCAGTGGCTCTGTACCCTCTACAGCTAAGATGGTGAACAACAGCTCGACCTGGAGCTGGGCTGCCGTGAGTCGCCAGCGACAGCGTAGGTTGCAGTGGGGCTGGCCGGCAGCTGGCATGCACTTTCATGAGCTGCCGTGAGCAGCCGTCCAACGACTGCCTCAGCCGGGAAGGGAGCAATGATAATACCAACATGGGCCAGTGAAGTGACGTCCTCCACAACTAGACTGAAGAACAAAAAAGGACAGCAACTTGTCTGTTCCCCTTCCCCGATTCCCCAACGCTGTTCCCCTCCCCTAATTCCCCAATAAAATCTTTAAATAAACAAACAAATAAAGAAAACAAAACGTTAGTGTCACTCTTCAGTGCAGCCAGCTCTGCCCTACCAACCTCCTGACTCTACCTCCTCCCTTACTCTGCTCCCTATGCTTCCTCTCGGCCCAGCTTTTACTTTAGCTCAGAATTATCAGCATCCACACGTTCTCTCTAGGAACCTCTAAACTGTTTTGTTTTTTAAAATAACAATCTTTTTTTTTTTAAAGATTTTTATTGGGGAATCGGGGGAGGGGGAACAGACAAGTTGCTGTTGTTTTGTTCTTCAGTCTAGTTGTGGAGGACGTAGCTTCACTGGCCCAAGTTGGCACCATCATTGCGCTTTTCCCGGGCGAGGCACATCAGTCATCGGCTTCTGGACGGCTGCTCACTGCAGCTGCTGGCCGCTCACGCTGGCTGCTGGCTACACACGGTAGCCCATGGCAACCCACTGCCACAGGGGCTGCAGCCTCCGCCATGGCCGGCAGGCAACTCACAGCAGCCCAGTTCCAGGTTGAGCTGTTGTTCAGCATCTTAGCTGTAGAAGGCAGTATCACTGGCCCTCATATGTGGGATCCAAACCGGGGCCCTCTGGCGTCCCAAGCCAGTTCTTAACCATCGCGCCACTCGGCCTGCCCAACAATCTTTTTTTTTAAGTCAACACATTTCTTCATAGTCTTTATCTGGGTGCTGTCCCCTAATTTCCAGGCCAGTGACTACACAGAGCTCACATCCAAGGACACACCAACACTGAGTGACTCCCCAGTAAGAACTTTAGGGTCACACTTGGGGCTCCAGGGCTCACCCCAGAGGAGCTACAAGATTTTATGTTTGTGAAACGACGTGCTGGCTTAGTGACATCCTGGCTAAAACCCGGGGCAAGAACAAAGTGCCCGGGGAAGGGTTTGCCAGCCAGTGTCAAGTGGGCCATTGACTGCTGTGGGCACTTCACCGCCAGCAGGTGAGACCGAGGGACTAGGTTCTGCAGCCAAACTCCACTGGGTAATTACGAGGATCTGGTTAACTAAAAACCCAGGCATTTTCCCACTGGGCACACATCTCCCCAAACCAATGGCTGAGTAACCGAGGCTTTTAAGTCTGGCATCCAGATGGTCAGTCACCTCTCAGGTGGAGGGTTTCAGCTCACTGTCCCAGCTAACACAGGCTCGGTACCCCTCTTTTCACTGATTCCCCCAGCCTGTTCCAATGCAAATGTGATGGGGGTTAGGGAAGAAAGCCCTCCATTTCCTTACCCTCTACTCTAACCAGCACACAAGGACCTGCCTTCCTCTCACACTGGTTTTTCACACCTGAGGTCCCCACACCAAACAAGGTCCCCCTCCTCTTGAGCATAAGATTTTGAAAGCCGCCATCATCAGAGTCAAGTGAGAGAGAGGCTCGCTCTCCCCGCCTCTACCAGGAAAAGCTCTCTGGGTCTTGACAGCTCGGGCAGGACTGGGACCTGGTGGCCACTGGAGTCGGGCACTTCCTGCAAGTCTACCCAAAGCTGAAACCAAACACCAGAGAGAGGTGGGTGTGGGCATGGGATCCTGTAGCTACAGGAGGCTCAGGGAGATGAGGGAGGATCAGCTGAACAGCTAACCTGCCGGGGATGGGCCAGCAAGGCCTTGGGCTCTGCAGACAGCAGCTGGCTTAGTGTGGAAAGGGGGTGTGCACAGTGAGATCGGAAACCTCCCCTCTCCAGGCAAGCTGGCCCAGCAGCC